CTGGAGTCCCAGGATCGAGTCCTGCGTCGGGCTCCCGACATGGAGCCTGCTTCTCCCTCCTCCTGTGTCTCTGCCTTTCTCTCTCTCTATGTCTAGCATGCATAAATCAATCAATCAATCAATCAATCAATCAATCTTAAAAAAAATAGTATCCACAAAAAAAAGTAGAAATTCCTACAATCTTAGGAAAAAGACAAATAGCCTAATACAAAAATGATCAAAATGGCATCACACAGAAGAAACACTAATGGCCAAATAAAGAAAGGCAATCATCTTTAATAGTAACCAGGAAAATTTAATTTATTTTTATTTTATTATTATTTTTTAAAAGATTTTATTTATTCATGAGACACACAGAGGCAAAGGGAGAAGCAGGCTCCCTATGGGGAGCCTGATATGGAACTCGATCCTGGTATCACGACCTAAGCCAAAGGCAGATGCTCAATCACTAAGCCACCCAGGTGTCCCAGAAAATTTATTTTAAAAAAATGAAGTAAGATTTTATACTCATCAGATGATTAAAAAATGAAAAAAATATTTCAGTATCAATTACAGGGAAAGAGTGATACAAACACTTGGAAAATGGTTTGGTATTACCTAGTAAAGCTGGGTAAGTATGTATGCCAAGACCCAGCAATTACATTCCTAGGTATATTTCCTAGCAAATCTCTTGCATATGCAAGTCTAGAGATTTATAAATTATTATCTTATAATTTTATGCTCATTATGTTATATATAGCCTATTGTGTATATGGTATTTTTTTAAGATTATTTATTTATTTATTTGAGAGAGAGAGAAACTTCAGCAAACTTCACTGAGCTCAGAGCCCGATATGGGGCTTGATCCAGGATGCTGAGAGATCATGACCTCAGATGAAACCAAGAGTCAGATACCTAACTGACTGTGCTAGCAAAAGGCCCCTTTTCTATACAGAATTTTTTTTTATAAATATACTTCTTTTTTTAAATACAAAACTCGGGCAGCCCCGGTGGCGCAGCGGTTTAGTGCCCCCTGCAGCCCAGGGCGTGATCCTGGAGACCCGGGATCGAGTCCCACGTTGGGCTCCCTGCATGGAGCCTGCTTCTCTCTCTGCCTGTGTCTCTGCCTCTCTCTCACTCGCTCTGTATCTCTCATGAGTAAATAAAATAAAATCTTTAAAAAAAATAAATACAAAACTTAATGGATAGGTTGGAGAGTCAAATGGTCATAGCTAGAGAATTTATTAGTGAAACAATACAAAATAAGCCAAGGAATTGCATGTAAAGGCGGTATAAATTGAAAAAAAAAAAGATGCTAACAATGATCTATATGTTTTAATGTCTAAAAGAATAATAAGAGAAAAAAAGGTAACAGTAGCAGGTAACATCAGAAGAGATGACTGCCAAAGCTTTTCTATTGAAAAAATACTACCAGAAGAAAAATATGAGGAATATAGGTAAAAAAAAAAAAAAAAAAACTTCAATACATCATAGTAAAACTTTTAGTCCATTAAGGGAAAAGATTATAAAGGAACAACAATCGTAGGAGAATATGTTCTGTTCATGGTCATATGGTGAGCAAAGACTTCTTAAAGTGGACAAAAAAGTAGTTAATGTGATTCTGTTTATATAAGATTCAAAAATAAGCTGAGGAAGAATTTCTTACATAAGATCCAGTGAGTGTGAAGCACAAAAGACTGATAAATTTGATTAAAAATAAGAACTTCTGTTCACAAAATGAAACCATAAAGAGGGTTAAGACATTTCAGAAGAAATTGACAATTTTAGAAAACTGGATGTACTTATAAGCAAAATATATAAAGAATCTTTACATCATTACAAAAGAGAGACAATCTAACAGAAAGACATTTTAAAAAGACCTGAACAGGCAATGCACTAAAGAAGAATTTCAAGAAACCAATAATGATATGAAATGTGTTAAACTTATCAATAAAAAAGGAAATGCAAATTAAAACCATATTGAACTATATTATACACTCACCAATTGGAAAAAATCCAAGCGTGACAATACTATATGTTAAACAGGAAACATGAAATAATCAAAGTTCTCATATACTGCTGGTGAGATTATAAGCTAGTATAGGCATTAAAGAAAAGTTGAAAAATTGGCAGCTGAAGACATGATGTCTTCTGATCCACTCCCTTCTCTCCTACTCCTAAAACACAGAAAATGTTCATAGTAGCTGTTTATAATTGTCAAAAACTGGAAACAACCTAAATGTCTATGAATAGTAGAACTGTTAAATAAACTGCAGTATATTCGTATAATGGAATGAATCAAGTCTAATAACTACAAGTAACAGTATGTATGAATCTTAAAAGCAAAATGCTCCACAAAAAAGACATAAAAGGATATATATATAGTATGATTCCATATATATAAAATTCAAACTCAAGTAAAACTAAACTATATATCATGGATGGCACTCTTAGATAGTAAAACTATGAAAGGATACAAAGATATTGTAGACACAAAGAGATCTGTGCTGGTAGTGCTGTAGTTCTTGACCTGAGTGAGGGTTCCATGAAACTTCATTTCATAACTGTTGGAATGCCCACCTGCATTTTTGTTACATTATTTGTGATAATTTCTAATAAGAAGAATGACAATATACTAACTTCTGCTAGGCATATCTATCTCTGTAGGCATAAGTGGACAGAGGGATAAAACAAATAGAAAAAGATGCCCTGAAATACAAACCAGCATAAATCAGAACTTACTACTGAACAGGCAGATAAAACAATGATGAAATCAGCTAAATGATGATATGGTGCTAAAAAGTGTGTGTTGGGGGGAGGTTAATTGATTTAGAGTCTCAATTTATACCGTACTGCAAAAGACCCTTAACATGGATTTAAATTGTATAAATTACCGAAAATTTACAAAAAACCCCCAAAATATTATAAAATTTGTAGAGGATTGTTATTTTTCTAAAATGAGAAATGACAATAATCAGTACAGAGCTACAGACAATTGAAAATACATATGGAAGACGCCAATGCAAATTAAAATTAAAAAGTAAAAGCACCTTCTTGAAATGAGTAAATGGATGTTTTAATTTCTTAAAGTCCATAAAAATTGACTGAGAAAATAAGGATAGTAATAGATAAAAAGGATAAAATTTAGTAGTGGACAAGTCAGAGACAATAAGACCATTAAGATGAAAATGTTCACTTTCACTAGTACCCAATATGACAACATGAAAACAATCCAGTGTACGAAGAAATTGTAAAATTTATTAGGGGTGACAATGGTATTAAAGTTATGGAAGGAAAAACATGTCCATATTTTTTAGAACTATAAACTGTGATTATGCAAAGGTGGAATGGCATGAAGTCTTGGACTTATCTGAAAATACTTAAACAACCAGGATAAAGCACTGGCCTCCTGGCTGCTCCATGAACACAGCTGATGCACACCTGCTTCAGGGCCCTTGAATGTTTGGCTTCCTCCCTCTGGAACGTTCTTCCTTCTAGTAACCACATACAATGATTTACTGCTGTATCTCAAGTTTCCACCCAAATGTCACCTAACTGGAAAAGTTTCTCTTACCCATCCTATAAAACAGCATCCTCCATCCCCTATTTTCTTTTCTTTTCAGCACTACATGATATATATTTATTTATTTTTGTATTTCTCTCCGTATTGGAGGATGAGCTCTGGGAATGGAGATTCTGCACGTTCTGTTCGCTGCTATAATGTCAGTGTTGAAAACAGTGCTGGGCATACAACAGGTACTCAATAAACATACACTGAATGAATGAATGTACTGTCCTGTTTAAACTCCTTCATACCAACTCTGTTTATCGTGGCCAGCTCTAAGTTCTTTTTTTTTTTTTAATTTTTATTTATTTATTTATTTATGATAGTCACACAGAGAGAGAATGAGGCAGAGACATAGGGAGAGGGAGAAGCAGGCTCCATGCACCACGAGCCCGATGTGGGATTCGATCCCGGGTCTCCAGGATTGCGCCCTGGGCCAAAGGCAGGCGCCAAACCGCTGCACCACCCAGGGATTCCCCCCCCCAGCTCTAAGTTCTTAATGGAGGCACAGAGCCTTTATTTCCAGCATTCCATCTATAGTTAATGACAGGTACACTCAAATCTCCCTCTATGACATCTGTGCAGATCAATATCTCTTCCATATACTAAGGCCTCATTTTTTCTGAGCTCCTTATTTTAACCTCTCTTATGATGGTTTTACTTTAATAAAGTTATATATAGATGTGTTCTAGTACCTCATTAAGCTATATATTCTGAAATTGCTTATTCTTTTTTTTTTTAAAGATTTTATTTATTTATTCATGAGAGACAGGGGCAGTGGGGTGGGGGTGGGGGGGACATGGGCAGAGACACAGGCAGAGGGAGAAGCAGGCTCCATGCAGGGAGCCCAACGTGGGACTCAATCCCGGATCTCCAGGATCACACCCTGGGCTGAAGGCAGCACTAAACTGCTGAGCCACTTGGGCTGCCCTGAAATCACTTACTCTTTTAATCTCTGCAGTACCTAGCAGAGTACCTTACACATTTGAAAATCAGTAAATGTTTGTTATTAGTGTGAATCAATCAATGATTATATGAGCTACTTTACCTAAAAAACTCTGAAGAAAAGAAGCCTTTGGCAATGTAGGGAAAAAAAAAGTATTTCAGGAGATAGTGATGCTTTTTTTAAGACTAAATACAGAAGAGGATGAGAAGTGATGAGGAATTTGATTCAAAATATGGATAGAAAGGAATACCAATAGAGAGGGTAGAGGAGGGCACTGGCTGGTTAGAAATGGACAAGAATAAGAGGAATTGGAAAGAAGTGTAGGAAGAGTAAAGCAGGTAGAGTATATTAAGTAAGGAGAAAAGGTAAGGTCATTTGAAAGCTCATGCTAAAAAGGCTTACTTTTGTACAACGGGCCTAAAGCTTTTAGGGGAGAGTCCCAGATAGCACCTCAATGGTGTAGTCTCTCTACTGACCAAGTGGGTCCATTACCTGCTGCGCCTCACTTACCTGGCCACTGGTCTCTTGTTAGTTCTCTGTCAACCAACCAGGGCTCCTTCCCCTGCTCCAAGAAGGAGATCACATCTGGTTTAGAAACAGAATGTCCTGCTTACAAAAGAAGTAATGAGATAAGTTTATGATGAGAATATCCCAGGATTCAAATTTAGTCCCTTCATTAAGAAAGAGTCAAAGAAAGGTAAATTAGATTTATGAAACATAACAGAGGGCTTGAAACTTCCCCCATAAGTCAACGCAGCTTCTTTTTTCTAATGCTACAATATTAAAAAACATTCTTCTAAGCACAGGATGTAGAAATACCTATTGAAAGGTAGGCATTTCACATGGGAGAAAGTAGATTTCTGAGGGCAGAATCTGAATTATTATGGACAGATGTCCTTACCCATTGAAATCAGGTGGCTGTAATTCTCCAACATCACATCTCTGTATAAATCTCTCTGATCATCATTCAGGCATTCCCACTCCTCCTGAGAGAAGTCTATGGACACATCACTGAACATCACTGACTCCTGGAACAACAACCATGTATATGACTTGATTAATAAAAAGAAGTGTTTTTTTGTGAAGGAAAGAGAGAAGAAAGGAATAAAGATAGAAGTGAAAAATAGCAAGCATATAGAGTGGTGTGGATGTTTGGGACTCAAGTAGAGGACTGTAAACATACAAGCAGGACTGAATCTCATGTTTCCATGTTCATTCTGTTTCCCCAGATAAAACTGGGAAGGTGCAAAATCCTGCTAAGAAGGATATCCTAATTAAATGAAGTAGTATTTACAAATGGCTAACATCATACTTGCCATACAATAAGTCATCAACACATGTGAGGCTCTTTCTCTCTCTTCTTTTCCTAAATAGCTAAGAGTAAAGTTACGGAATAAGGGATAAAGAGAAGACATTTAAAGTACCAAAGGGGAGCAGATTACATAAAAGACATCATGAATCAGAGATGCAATGAAGTTCTCAAGAAGACTACTAAAAACAAGAAATGGTAAGAATAATTCTTTAATATGCTGATGGAGAAAAGAAATTCTACCCTAGATTCTATAACTAAACTATCATTCTGTTGTGAGGATTGAAAAAAGACATTTCTAGACATAAAAGGACTCTAGCACAATTTCTTAGGAAACTACCAGAAGATGTGTTCCACCAGATGGAAGGGAATAAACCAAAAAAGAGGGAAGATGTAGTATTCAAGAAATAGGTGAATTAACACAGGAGAACAGTAAAGGAAAAATCTCAGGAAAACAAACAAAAAAAGGAAGTCTTGGGAAAGCTATGCAGTAGGCCCGGAGAGTAACCAGACCAGGTAAGAGCAGGGAAAAGGGAAAATGGTAATGGAAGCCTCCACACTCAAAATGAATTCATGTGTTTGACCAGATGGAAAACAATGACAACTAAGCAAATGGGGAAAAAAAGCTTAATTGTTCCAGGAAAAATGAAAGGTTGTAATAGAATAGAGCTATGAGTTGGCTCAGCAGTGAGCAGTTTTGTAGTCATAATATTCTGTACACTACTGATTTGACAAAAAATTTTAATAACAGAATTAGAGGAATGAATAGTGCAATACAAGGGTACAATGTCCCCTCCACTCTGTAGTAAATCAAGAGGGTAAAACTGATTCATCCAAAGATAGCAAACCATATTCAAGAGAGTTGAGTCACCTTTTAGGAGTGGGTCGGTGATGGGGCAAGGTTGGAATGGCACTCCACTTGTAAAATATGCAAATGACTTTAAAAATATTTTATCTTAGAAAATTAAACTTGCATAAAATTTAAGACTGATTCCTTTCTCACATCACACTATTACATAATAAGAGTCATAATTAATTACAACAAATTCTTTTCATAAGCATATTTTTTCACTGAATAATAGTCTATGATATGGATTTAAAACAAATTTTCTTTGGTTTTCAGACACTGAGGTTGAAAGGGATTTTTAAAGATCTCAGTATCGGCCTAATCTTACTTATAACTACCCATTGCTCAACTGTAAATTCCCTTTGTTCCTGTGCTATAGGAAAGTGATGGAAGATGATCTAGATTCACACAATAGCATTACTGAAGTCTATTTATCACGGATGATCTGGTGAGGTGTTGGAGCTTTCTACTAACTGTGAGTCATATCCCCAACCCAAAAGGCTCATAAACCCGGAGATCTTTCCACATACCAAGACTGAAATAGAGCAAAACCATTCCACATATTTTTCTTCTTGAAAAACCTAAGTCGGTAATGATCAGGGCTTTTCCTTATGAGGTCCCCCTAATTATTTATCTTCATACCAAGCAAATTAGATTCATTAACAAATGGGGAACACAATATCGTTCTATTAAGATTTATGGCAGAAGTCTAAGATAGAAGATGCTGAAGGACTTACTAAATGAGTTTGTAAACATTGCTTAAAAGAATAGGAAACTAGGGAGGGCCCTGGGTTGTTTATAAAGAAATAGGGGTCAGGTTCCCGAATGGGGATTGGGTTAACCAGGGGAAAAGTTTTTTTTTTTTTCCAAACCAGGTCTCAGTCAGATCATTTTTGTCATTAACAATAGCTTTCTGGGAACAAATAAGGATTCTTGATAGAACCTGTATGAAATTTTCTGATGGATTTTAATCTGATTAAGACTTCTTTAGAGAGACTCATCATCCAACCACTTGGCCCTCTGTTACCTATAATTTAAGAGTGTAAAAATTTTTGATGAGACTTTTTCCCAATAGTGATTATGGAACCACTTCTTTTTTCTATAAATATCTCAACCAAGAAAGACAGTTTTGAATTGACTTACTGGAGACTTTTTTCTTTAGAGCAAGGGTAAGAGGACTTTGACATTGCTTTTATTTTATTTTTAAAGATTTTATTGAGAGAGTGAATGAGAGACTGAGAGAGAGAGAGAGAGAGAACACGAGCCAGGAGCCCCATGTGGGGCTTGATTCCAGGACCCTGGGATCCTGGCCTGAGCTGAAGGCAGATACTTAACCAACTGAGCCATCCAAGTGCCCCTTGACATTGCTTTTAACTAAACTGTCTGAAAGTTTTTTTTTTTTTTAAACACCAAAAATACCATGATGAGGAAAACAAATGTTTACATTTATTAGGGGTAAAAATGACTCTATTTGAGCAAAAGGAAACAGCATCTCACCTGAGCCATGGTTTTGGTATTTGCAGCCAGACCAATCCTCTGCTGGGCTCCTCTTGGAAAAGGGCAAAGCTGGGGAAAACAAAAGAAGCTAGGTAAGATCCCACTTGCCTCATACCTCCCAGAATGATCATTCCCTTCTATTCATCCCACATATAAACACTTCATCCCACTGATAAACACTCGAGGGTTATTATCAGTGAGAAAAATGGGCAAATCTTTCATATCTCCTACTCCAGAGACCTCAGGCTTTGACTGGAGTAGAAGAGATTTCAACAATCTGATGTGACTTGGAGAATAGTGTGTGTGTGTGTGTGTGTGCACACACACACACACACATATATACACACATACATATATACATTTTTCCACATATGATAGCATATTATACACACTGTTATACACACTGCTATTTTTACTTAATGAATCTTGAACTGGATCCCAAATGGTACATACAGAACTACTTAATTCCCTTAGCTACATTTATTTCATTAAATAGATACATTTTAATTTATTTTGCCAATCTGCTGCCCATGACCATTTAGGTTGTTTCCCATCTTTTAGTATAACAAACAATGCTGTAATAAATATCCTTGTATATATATCATTTTACTTTTATGTTAATTCTGAATAATTGTTAGAAGTTATTCATATACATTTTATTTATTTATTTTTTAAAGATTTTATTTTATTTATTCATGAGAGACACACAGGGAGAGAAAAAGAAAGAGGCAGAGACACAGGCAGAGGGAGAAGCAGGCCCCATGCAGGGAGCCCGATGTGAGACTTGATCCTGGGACTCCAGGATCATGTCCTGGACTGAAGGCAGGCGCTAAACCACTGAGCCACCCAGGGATCCCTATTAATATACATTTTAGTTTTTTTTTTTATTTTTATTTTATTTTTTTTTTTTTAATTTTTATTTATTTATGATAGTCGCAGAGAGAGAGAGAGAGAGGCAGAGACATAGGCAGAGGGAGAAGCAGGCTCCATGCACCGGGAGCCCGACGTGGGATTCGATCCCGGGTCTCCAGGATCGCACCCTGGGCCAAAGGCAGGCACCAAACCGCTGCGCCACCCAGGGATCCCTACATTTTAGTTTAGATATACATTTGTCAAAAACAATTTTTAATGATCTTTGATTGTACAATCAGGTCCCAGGTCCTAACCAAGAAACAACTGGCTGATAACCCAGATCCTCTTATCTTGCCCAGTTAGAGAAGACTTTTAGGATTAATGAATCATATCTTAAGAAAGTGAAATCCAGAGAAGCAAACAAAGCAATATTGCAAAAACTTTAGGAAGATACTTAAATTAGTATAACAATAGGAAGGAATTAAAAAGTGTAGACCTAATGTACAAATTGACTAAATCTGTATTACTGATGCTTTATAATGCTTTTAAGTGTAGTAATAAAATTGTAATAATTGGATATATTTTGTGTGCTTAAGATGTTTAAAATGTCCAAAAGAACATTATACTAAAATAGTAACAAAGTCTGAATTGTGGGACGCCTGGGTGGCTCAGCTGGTTAAATATCTACTTTTGACTCAGGTCATGATCCCACATTGGGCTCCTTGCTCAGTAGGAAGTCTGCTTCTCCCTCCCCCTCTGCTCCTTCCTTACCCCCACTCATTCTCTCTCTCTCTTGCTCTGCTCTCTCAAATAAATAAAATCTTAAAAAAAAAATCAAAATTGTTTAAGGGGAGTAATTGAATTTGAGATCAATGGTGAATGTTTAATAAAATATGTAGTCTTTTTAAATTAGATATAGGAATATAATAAACAGAGCATTATAAATGTATTAAGGCTAGTGAGCATTCCTAGTACAAAGCTTGATCATTAAAAAATTTATCAATAGTTGCGTGTAAAACTGACCATCCAGGAGGGCACCTGGGTGGCTCAGGGTTGAGCGTCTGCCTTCAGCTCATGTCGTGATCCTGGGATCCTGCAGGGAGCCTGCTTCTCCCTCTGCCTGTGTCTCTGCCTTTATCTCTGTAACTCTATGAATAAAAAAACAAAAAACAAGACAAAACAAAACCAAAAACTAAAAACTGACCACCCAGGAAGTAGAACTTTGTTATCAATTATTTAATGGGCGTGATCCTCAAGCACTCATCGCATTTCCCCTGGGGTATATATATTTCAGGAAATGAAAATCCAAGTAATCCACAAATGTCTCTTCTTCAAAATCTGAAAGCACTCCTTTAATATTTTTACTATTATTACTATTTATTAAGCTCTTAGTATTTTATTATTATTATTATTATTATTATTATTATTTATTTTAGTATTTTTAAGAAATAAACCAACATAACTTATTATGTGTCAGGGATTATGCTAGATACTAAAGAAGCAACAGTAGGGACACCTGAATGGCTCAGTGGTTGAGCAACTGCCTTTGGTTCAGGGTGCGATCCTGGGATCCAGGATCGAGTCCCACATCAGGCTCCGTACAGGGAGTCTGCTTCTCCTTCTGCTTGTGTCTCTACCTCTCTCTCTCCGTGTCTCTCATGAATAAATAAATAAAGCCTTAAAAAAAACAAAAACAGAGAAGCAACAGAAATCCAGAGAACCTTGGAAACAGAGTTTCTTCTCCCATACTTCTCACTTTAAGTCCCCCTTTCTGGTCTCTCGTAATGGCCTTTCCTTGGTTAAAGGGACATCCTCAAGTGCTGCACCTTTCAGGTAGAATGGGTGGGAAACATTCTTACTTCAATAGCTCCATGCTGTTTGTTACATTCCCACCTCTCTTCATATTTGCTCCTAGAGTATATCCTCTCTAGCTCAATTCTTGCCATCTGGGGAATCTGCTCCTCTCTTTTAAGCCAATGATCTCTGTGGCCAAGACTGTAGTATGCTTGCAAAATAACCACACCTTGGACATGGAGCACAGCCAAAAGATACCACTACAGACAAGAGAGTCCTTTGAAACCTAATAAATAAAAATTTTGAGAATTTTGTACCCTTCTAAATGATAAGCCAATTCTCTAATAAAAATTAAATGTTTTAAAATATTTCCAACATTATCCTGAAAATTCCCTGTATGTTAAGAATTGTATTTGTCTGTTAGTAACAGAGACCTGAAAAACACTAATTTTTCTTATATAACGAGAAGGCTAGATGTAGGCAGTGGTTGCCCTTGGCCTTCATGGTTGTTTTAAGCACAATATCTATCATCCAACTAAAAACTGTTAGACATGCTTGGAGATAAAACCAAAAAATAGAAGCAGAACTACCAATAATTTAGATATGAGAACTGGCAAACAATTTAAAATAGCTATAATTGAAATGTTAAAAACTAAAAATATATAGGCAAATGGATAAGATGAAGAAATTAAATAGAATTGAAATATATAAAAAAGACTCAGACAACCTAGAACAGTAAATTAAGAAATTAAGAAGTTGAGGCACCTGGCTGGTTCAGGTAGAAGAGCATGTGACTCTCGGGGTTGTGAGTTTGAGGCCCACACTGGGTACAGAGATTACTAAAAAAATGAAATAAAATTAAAAAAAAAAAAGAAATTAAGAAGTCATTGTATGGTTTTAACATGAGACCAGACAAGCAGAAGATAGAACTACTGAACTCAAAGGCAAGTCAAAAACAAAAATATCCACATGAAGTGCAGAGGAAAAATAGAACAGAAAGAACAGAAGTGAGTAGAAGAAAAAAGGAACTCAGTCAAAAGATTTACCATATATGTAAGTGGAGCCTCTGAAGAAGAAAAGAGATTGGAGAATAATTAATATCTGAACTGATTAACTGATAAAAAGCCTCAAAAAGAGTTTTAGTGAAGCTCAGCAAACCTGAATAAGAAATAAAAAGAAAAATGCACAGAACAAAAAGCAAAACCACAACCAGAGGAAAAAAGTCTTGAAAGTACTAAGAAGATGGGACATTTGGGTGGCTCAGCAGTTGGGCATCTGCCTTCGGCTCATGGCGTGATCCTGGGATCGAGTCCTGGGATCGAGCCCCACATCGGGCTCCCTGCATGGAGCCTGCTTCTCCCTCTGCCTGCTTCTCTGCCTCTGTATCTCTCTGTATTTCTCATGAATAATAAATAAAATCTTAAAAAAAAAGAAACTATTTAGAAGAAAAGACACATTACCAATACCACTAATGAATAAGAGGGGAATAACACAAATAAACCAAATCAGGAATGAAAAAGGGAACATCATTTATAGATGCCATAGACATTAAAAAATAACAAAAGAATAGCCAACAACCTTATGCTATTAAATTTGTTTTTTTTTTAAGATTTTATTTATTTATTCATAGAGACAGAGACACAGGCAGAGGGAGAAGCAGGCTCCATGCAGGAAGCCCGAGGTGGGACTCGATCCCTGGTCCCGAGATCACACCCTGGACCAAAGGTGGCGCTAAACCGCTGAGCTACCCGGGCTGCCCTGCTATTAAATTTGAAAGCGTAGATCAAACTGATAAATTCTTTAAAAAAACATACCAAAATGGACAAAACAAACAAAAAAACCTGAAACATGTGAAGAGGTAAATTGATTCCACATTTTAAAAATCTTCCAGGGTGCCTGGATGGCTCAGTTAGGTATCTGACTCTTGGTTTCAGCTCAGGTCATGATCTCAGGGTCCTGAGATTGAGCCTCATTGTCAGGCTCTGTGCTCAGCATGAATGTGCTTAGGTTTCTTCTGCCCTCCTCTCCCTACCCTTCTGCTCTTTCTCCTGCTTAAGTCTCTCCAAATAAATCAGATCAGATCAAATCAAATCAAATCAAAATCTTCCTATCAAGAAAACTTCAGGCCCAGACAATTTCACCAGTGAACTCTTCCAAATTTAAGGAAAACCTTTGGTCTTATACGTAGTGAATAGAAAAATAAAAGGAATTCTTCCTAACTCATTTTATGAGACTAATATAAGCCTAATGCCAAAACAAAGACATAAAAAGAAAATAAAATCACGGGCCAATATTTCTAATGAACATATGTGCAGAAATTCTATAAAATATTAGCAGATCTAATTGAGCCAGATTTGTAAAAAGTTTGATACATTATGGACAAGCAGGGTTTAATTCAGGAATCAAAGGCTGGTTCAAGATATGAAACAACATAATTTATTACATTGATGATAACAGTAAAAAAAATGATACTCTCGACAGAGAAAATGCATTTGCCAAAATCAGCCCTCATTAATGTAAAAATCTTACCACTGAGAAAGAGAACTTCTTCAATTTGATAAATAGCATCTACAGTAGGTATTTGTAGATGCTAGATCTAAGGACAATATACAAAATATACAAAAAAAATTGTACTTCCAGCAACAAACAACTGGAAAATGTTAAATACCATGTACAATTTCAACAATAAACATCAAATATCCAGGTACAAATTTAACAAAAGATGTGCACTGAAAACTACAACAAAGTGTTGAAAGAAATTAAAGACCTTAAGAAATATAGACATATACCATATTTATTAATTGGAAGATTCAATATTGATAGGACAGCAATTCTCCCCAAGTTAACATAAAGACTCATTAAACAAAATCCTAGAAAGGATTTTTCATTTTTGGTGAGAATTAACAAGTTAATTCTGACATCCATTAAAAGGACTTACATATGCCAAGACGGTCTTGAAAAAGAAAAGAAAAAAAGTTGAAGGAGTAGTACTATATATTTCAAGACAGTGGCACTGACAAAAAGATAATATAACAGAATACAGTCCAGAAGGAGGACCACATATATGTTACTTATGATAACAGCTTCCTGCAATTCAGATGGGCAAGGATGATATTTTCAATAAATACCATACGCAACAATTATTATTATTTTTAAAATATTTTATTTATTCATGAGGGATACAGAGAGAGAGGCAGAGACATAGGCAGAGAGAGATACAGGCCCCCTGCAAGGAGCCTGATATGGGACTTGATCCCAGAACTCTGGGATCACGACCTGAGCCAAAGGCAGATAGATGCTCAACCACTGAGTCACCCAGGGCCCTCCCCATACACAAAAATTAATTCAAGATGGACCACAGACTTAAATATGAATGATAGGGCAGCCCGGGTGGCTCAGCGGTTTAGCACCACCTTTGGCCCAGGGTGTGAACCTGGAGACCCGGGATCGAGTCTCACGTTGGGCTCCCTGCATGAAGCCTGCTTCTCTCTCTGCCTCTCTCTCTCTGTGTCTCTCATGAATAAATAAAATCATTTAAAAAAACACAAAGGGTTAAAATCCCACTAGGAAAATGGGAAAAGACAAACATAAGCATAAGAAAGTACTAAAAAATGATGCCATGTTAAAAGGGCACAGGAGCTAATTTTAAGGAGTTCCTAATGGCCAAATCTGGGACAGAATCTGAACAGCAAAGTATATAACAAAAATAATGGTTTAAAACTCTAGTGTAAAATAAATACCCATGAGTTAAGAAATAATTGAATAAACACATGAGGAATAAGGGACAGCTCTTTACAGAATTTAAATTAATAAATACAGAAAGAGGGATCCCTGAGTGGCTCAGCGGTTTAGCGCCTGCCTTCAGCCCAGGGCCTAATCTGGAGTCCCGGGATGGAATCCCACATCGGGCTCCCTGCATGGAGCCTGCTTCTCCCTCTGCTTGTGTCTCAGCCTCTATCTCTGAGTCTCTCATGAATAAATAAATAAAACCCTTAAAAAAAAAAAACAAAAAAACAGAAGGGCAGCCCGGGTGGCTCAGCAGTTTAGTGCTGCCTTCAGCCCAGGGTGTGATCCTGGGGACCGGGGATCAAGTCCCACATCAGGCTCCCTGCATGGAGCCTGCTTCTCCCTCTGCCTGTGTCTCTGCCTCTCTCTCTCTCATGAATAAATAAATAAAATCTTAAAAAAAAAAATACAGAAGGAATGAAAGTCACCAGTAGGCAAACATCACAGTAATAATTATAGACAAGAATGATCAGTGAATGTTAAAATTAACATATTAAAGTATAATGAAAACAGTATTTTTAAAAAGTTTATTTAAGTAATCTCTACTCCAAACATGGGGCTCAAACTCATGATCCCAATATCAAGAATCTGGTGCTCTTCTGACTAAGCCAGCCACCTCCACGAGAAAAATATTTTTGCATAGGCACAAAGCATCTCCCCACAAGATACTTATCAATTAAAAAAGAAAGATAGTTTTACAAAGGGGAAACCTGGCAGGTACCACCTCAACCAAGTGATTGTAGTTAACATTACTAGTAGTGAGATATATTGATAACATTATATAACACATTGAGAAGAACATAAACATAATTTTTGTGATCTTTCAGCAAAAAATGAATAGTCTAAATTTAACCATTAGGGGGCACTTCGGTGGCTCAGTGGGTTGGGTGTCAGCCATGAGCTCAGGTCATGATCCTGGGGTCCTGGAATTGAGCCCCACATCAGGCTCCCTGCTCAGCAGGAAGCCTGCTTCTGCCTCTCTTCTGCCTGCCACTCCCCCTGCTTGTATTCTGTGTGTCAATAAATAAATAAAATCTTAAAAAAAATTTAAAGGAAAAGGCAGACAAATCCAAATTGAAAGATACTCTACAAAACAACTGGCCAGTACTCTTCAGAAGTATCAAGGTCATGAAAGATAAAAAACACTGAAGAACTATGCTTTATGGTAAGAGACAAGATAACTAAATTAACATGGGATCTTCAACTGGATCCTGAAAAGAACAGGGAACTGATAAGACAAATAGCAAAATGTAAATAAGGTCTGTAAATTAGTCAAAAGTCTTGTATCCAGTAAATTTCCTGGTTTTCATTACTATACCATGGGCACCTGAGTGAAGAATATATAGGACTTCTTAAAAAAAAAAAAAAAAAAAGGACTTCTTTGCACTACATTTACAATATGAAAATAAAAAGTTTTTTAAAATGAAAAAAAAATTTTAAAGGGCAGTGGGCAATAAGATCTAAACAGACACTTTAAAAAACAGTATATCCAAATGGCCAATAAACCCATGAAAAAGTACTGAACATCATTACCCACCAGGGAAGCACAAATTAAAACTGCAATGAAAAAAAAAAAAAACCCGCAATGAAATTCCACTATACAACCAGCAGAACAGTTAAAATAAAAGACTGACAATATCAAATAACAGAGATGATGAGGAGCAACTGAAACTCTCATACATTGTTGGATGAATTGGCACAACCACCTGACAAACTGGTAGTATCTATTAAACATATGCCCACTTTATGATCTAGCAATTCCATTCCTAAATATTTAGCCAAGAGAAAAATATTTACATGTTCACCAAAAACATAGAATGTTCATAGCAGCAATATAGTTTGTAATAGCAAAAAAAAAATGTTAACTATCAAATATCCATCAATAGTGTAAGAAATTGGGGTGCCCGTGTGGCTCAATTTAAATGCCTGCCTTCGGCTCAGGTCAGATCCCAAGGTCCTGGCTCCCTGCTCAGGAGCCTGTTTCTCCCTCCGCCCCTCTCCCTGCTGATTCTATCTCTCTCTTTCTCACATATATTTTCTTTCTCTCTCAAATAAATATTTTTAAAAATAGTGTAAATAATTAATAAATTGCAGCACATTCTCATATGTAATGAGGAGTACAATGACACTCAACAACATGGATGAATCTCAGACATAATACGGAAAAAACGAAACCAGGCGTAAAAGAGCATATGCTATACAATTCCATTTATATATGAAGTTCAGGAATGGGTAAAACTAATTAATGGTAAAAAAAAACTTAATGGTGATAGACTTCTGAACAATGATTGTGGGAGAAATAACTGGGAAGGGGCATGAGGGAGCCTTCAGGGGTGCTGGCAAAGTTCTTTATGTTGATTTAGGAAATCGTGATACACCTGTACACTTCAGATTTGTGCACTTTATGTATGCTGTATCTCATAAAAATGTTTTAAAAAACTATCAGAATCATGTTTTCATAGGGACATGGAGCAATGAGATGTCTCAAACATTGCTGTGCAAGCATAAATTTGTACACCCACTTAGGCCATTATTTTGGTACTATTTAGTAAAGTGCAAGATATCATATGACCCAGAAATTCCACTGTCAGGTAGATAAGTTCATGCACATATAGCCTCTGTAAAAGAATGCTGTGGCAGCACTGTTTATAAAGTCAGAAACTAGAAATAACTCAAATGCCCATCACTAATTGAAGGGATTAAGAACAGTGGGATACTTCAAAGGACCTAATACAATATAGCAAAGAAAACAAATGAACCATTACTATATTTAATATGACAATTCTCAAAAACATAATTGCACAAATAAACAAAAGAAAAAAGACAATATGATAGCATTTGCAAAAGTTTTAAAATGACGTTAAACTACAGTATAAATGATAGACAATGTAAGTGAAAAAACCTCATACATTTATCCAGTCACCCAAACATAAATCACACGATCACCACGGGGACACACAGCTAGAGGTGACCCACAACCAAAGCAACAGGGCCACACATCCAGGAACTCAAATGGTCACATAAGCAAAACCACACATTTACCAAGAAGACACTCGGTCACAATCGCACTGCCACAAGCACCACACGCCTGCAGATGGTCGCATAGTGACAATCACATTAACCACAGATAAAACCACACAGTATTCACAGGTACTTCCCCCGCCCTGTACTCTCAGCACACGCTCACAATGTCGCACAACCACACACCACCCTTACCCTTATCACATCCACCGAGTCACAAGCTCCGCACACCCTCACACACAATGCCGCACGTGGTCCCAGTCTCACACACACACACACACACACACACACACACACACACACATCACCGGGTCGCACCCAATCACACCAGCACAGTCACGGGCTCCCAGACTGTGCTACACACGAGTAATCACTGGAAGCACACACCACAGGAACAGCTAGTCACAACACACGGTCATTCACCACACACCACCAGACAAAATCCTACAATTTCAATCTAACCTCCTCCGCGGTATAAAGCCGAGCCTCTGGCTCCGCCCTCTCCTGGGGACCCTCACCTCAGGCCTTCCAAGCTTCCAAAACAGCAGTACTCTCCACAGCGTAGCAACAGTTGCCGGTGTAGACCTGAGGGTCCCGCCAGCGCGTGACTTTAAGGCCGAATTCACGCGAGAATCACAATGATGCCGAGGAGTCCTCCGGGAAATGTAGTCAGAAACTTACCTGCGGCGAGCAAGATGGCTCCCGATCGCCCGGATTTCTCTCACGGTTTAGCTGCGGCCTGGCTTAAAGGATTGCTCCCCTTCATGGAGCCGGACACCGGAGGCCATGCAGAGCCTGGCGCAGTCTCAGGCAATGGCTTCCAAAGAAGACCACTCCGACGTGTGTGAAATGGGGATCCTTCTCGGACCCACCCTACTATCCCCAGGAGTTGCTCGGGCTCAGGAAGAGAGGGCTAGTTTGGTCTAGGTAAGATAACTCGCACCATTGAGCCTTCTGGGAAATGTAGTTTGGAGCAAGGAAAGCGGTGGATGGACCGTTTGAAATTCGTCTTAATTCTTAACAGTTTGCGCGTGGCTATACCCCCAGAGACTGCTGGGAGTGTTACTGAGCCCAAGGAGTGCGCAGGCTTGTTGGGTCGCCCCTTCGTCCTTTGTTGGGGCGTGAATTTAATTTGGGGTTCGTCAATGCGGAGGAGTTGTGGAACCTGAGCTTCTGAGACTCAAAGCTAGGGTGGCCGAAAGGGAGGAGATTAGAACCTTGCAACGGGATTGGGGAATTGCTAAAAGGAAACGGGGTTGAAAAGGCCAAAAGGAGGGGTTTCTGATATTGCGAAGGGGGCTGGTATTTTTCTGTGCTACTGATTTCTGTATGAAAGTCAGGGCCTCAGGAGAATGATGGGGCAGTGAGACAGCCTTTGCAGGAAGCACCTAAAGAGATTCCTGGTGTTGTGTGTGATTTAGGATGTTGAGAGTCGTGGAGAGAGGGAGAAGTGGGACTCAGGAATTTTGTGTGTGGGTGTGTAATTGATAATTGATAGTCACTGTATGAATGACTGGGATTGTGTTTTGGAGAGTAATCGCTGAGCCACAATGGTAAAACAAGGATAGATTTTCCTGGAACATTAAAAAAAAAATGATGGGAGAAAATTTGCATAATTGAGCTGACAAGTGAGTTAAAGCTTGACTTTTGTGTAAAAACTAGCATTTTTATGGAATTGAAATAAAAATAGCATTGTTTTCTTAAATTTTTAAAAAAGATTTTATTTTTTCATAAGACAGGTTAAGTAGAAGCAGAGGGAGAAGCAAGTTCCCCGAAGAGCAGGAAGCCCTCTGGGGGACTAGATCTCACGACCCAGAATCACGACTAGAGCAAACGCTTAACCAACTGAGGCCACTCAGGCGCCCTTGCATTGTTTTCTTAAAAGAGAAAGTCTGTTTGAAAGGAAGTCTCCCCCCCCATCTTTTTTTTTCAGTTATATTCCACTAACTGAACCAGCCAGGTGCCCAGCATAATTTTAAATAAAAGGAGAAAGTAAGATAGTCATGTCTAAAAATTTTGTGTAAGTAAATTTTATATATACAAACAAAATCTTGGAATAGGATAAAATTCTTCAGGATAATCTTGCCAAGAAATAAATAAAACCTATTTAAGAAAAAGTTTAAAACCCTGTGAGGGTACACAAAAACTTAAATGAAAAGCCTTACCATATTCTTGGATAGAAATCCTTCATTCTAAAAAAAAAAAGAAAAAAAAAGAAATTCTTCATTCTAAACATGTTATTTAAATTAATTTATGAATTTAACATCCTGTTGAAGATAATATCTTTCTCTAGATAGGTAGGGGTTATTTTAAAATTCAAATGGAGAGGTACCTGGGTGGCTCAGTCAGAAGAACATCTCAGAACTCAATCTCAGGGTCATGAGTTCAAGCCCAACATTGGGTGTAGAGATTACTTAAATATTTTTTTAAAAAGTAAAGTTCAAATGGAAAAACAAAGGCAAGAATAAACTGTCTGGAAGAAAAAAGCCATGTGGGGTACATGGGACTAATCTTAAAACATATTCTAAAACTTCAAAATTTTAAATAATATGGGATTGTCATCTGACTGAACAGACCAGTGGATCAGAGTAGAGAATCCAAAAATAGAATAAAAACAAGAATGGGGCATGTGAATGGAACATATCAGATCAGTTGGGGAAAAGGTGGACTTTTTCAATAAAGGTAATAGGACAACTTGATAGGTTTTCTAGGAAAAAAAGTGGATTACACCATGTACTGAATCCAGAATTAACTCCAAAGAGGTCAAAATTTAAAACTGAAAAAATTTAAGTTACAAAGCCTGCAAACTTGAGTGAATTACTTTATAACCATGGAGGGGGTAGGTCTTTCTAACTTCAAAATCTAAAAAATCAAAACATAAGAGATTGATTATCCCTTCTACATGAATTAAAAAAAGAGTTGAAGTGACAAACTGGAAACATTTGCTTTTTATGTTACAAACAAATGGCTAACCTCCCTAATAGATAAGGAGCACCAAAAAAATTGATTAAAGGACTAATAACCTGGTAAGAATAAAGAGATTAGCAAATAATACACAGAACAAAGTCTACATGTTCTCAAATGCGTGCAAATATGCTTAACCTCATTCATAATCAAATTCCGTTAAAACTATATAGAGATTCTGATTCTATGGACTAGAATGGCAGAAATTTCCCCAAATTTGAAAAACTATATTGCTAGAGGGATTGAAGATTGGTACAGACTTTTTGGAAGGCAATTTGGCAACATATTTCAAAATTCCAATTGCATTTATTTCACTGAGCAATCCTACCTCTAGGATTTTATCCTACAGTTATGATGATGTGTATCCAAGATTAATCATATAGCAGTCTTCACAATAGCAAAAACTAGCCATAAATAAACCATTGGACATAGTGCAACATTATGTAATGGGAGAAAAAACAGAACACTATGGCCTGGTACAAAAAGTCTCCAAAATATATTAAATAAAAACAAAAACAAGATGAAGAACCTTATGTTGTACTAATCTACTTTTTGTATAAGAAAGGGGGGGAATGGATAAGAATAAGTGTGTTTGCATAAAGAACAAATTTGCAAAAGAAACTAATAAAAGTTATTTCTTTGGCGGCCTTTGAGGGCAAGAAGATGGATAGGGACAAAGAAAGGAGTAATTTTTCACCATATACTCTTTTGGGACATACTCTTTATTATGCATAAATATTGTATTATGTTTTTATTCACTGTTATCTTTACATGAGAAGGAAGAGTTGTGGGCTCCTGGGTGGCTCAGCGGTTGAGCGTCTGCCTTCAGCTCGGGGCGTGATCCTGCAATCTCAGGATCCATTCCCACATTGGGCTCCCTGCATGGAGCCGGCTTCTCCCTCTGCCTCTGTTTCTGCCTCTCTCTCTGTGTCTCTCATGAATAAATAAGTAAAATCTTTTTTTTTTTTTTAAAGGAAGAGTTGTGTTTTTTACATTTCTTTTCAGAAACCTATCACAACTGGATTCTTCACAGTTTCCTTGGTTTGAGATCACTCTTTCATTTTTCTAATTCTAATCTTCTGATCACAAAAACAAATAATAACAGCAACAAAAACATTCATGAATTGTTTTTCCACTGTCTTTTTAAAGTTAGGATTCTGTCATTGACCATCTTCCCTTAATCTGCACTTTCTTTTCTTTCTTTCTTTTCTTTCTTTTCTTTCTTTTCTTTTCTTTTCTTTTCTTTTCTTTCTTTTCTTTTCTTTTTTTCTTTAGCAACCACGTCCTTACCATTGCTTCAACATATACTGACTCATGAGCGACAAATTTGCTTCCATTCTAGGTCTTTTTTTTTATTGGGGTAAATTATACATAAGATAAAACTTACCATTTTAATCATTTTTAAATGTATATTTCAGTGGCCTGAGTACATTCACGTTATTGTGCAACCTATCCATTTCTAGAAATTTTTAATCACCCTAAACTCTGAACCCATTAAACAATAGTTAGCGACCCCCATCCCTTGTAATCCTTTATTTTTTTAAAGAAATAGAAATCCTTTTTTAAAAATTTGTTTATTCATGAGAGACACAAAGACAGAGACAGGCAGAGGGAGAAGCAGGCTCCTTCAGGGAGCCTGATGCGGTACTCAATCCCAGGACCCAGGATCTTGACTTGGGCGGGGAGGCAGACGCTCAACCACTGAGCCACCCAGGTGTCCCTCCTCTGTAACCCTTATGCTATTGTCTATGAATTTGACTGTTTTAGGTACTGCTCATGTAAGTGAAAGTACACAATATTTTTTTGTGTCTGGATTATCTGACTCGGCATATAATATTTTAATGTTCATCCTTATACTCTGTATCAGATTTAATTCATTTTGAGGGCTGAATAATATTTCACTGTATATTTATACCACATTTTGTTTATTCATTTATCTGTTGAAGGACATTTGAGTTGTTTCCATCCTTTGCCTGTTGTGAATAATGCTGCTGTGTTGTTCCCATCATTTGCCTGTTGTGAATAAGGCTGCTATGAACATGGCTGTACAGCTATGTCTTAGAAACCTTGCTTTCAGTTCTTTTGTGTGTATACCTAGAAATGGAAAAACCAGACCATATGGTAATTAAGTTTTAATCTTTGGAGGAATTACCATACAGTTCTCAGTGGCTGTACCATTTTACATTCCCTTCAGCAATGCACAGGGATTCCAATTTCTCCATATCCTCACCAACACTTGTTATATTCTGTTTTGTTTTGTTTTTTCTTTTAATAATAGCCATCCTAATGAGTGTGAAGGGTGTCTCATTGTTTCGGTTTGTATTTTTTAATGATTAATGATGTTGATCATCTTTTTGTGTACTTATTGGCCATCTATATATGCAGCTGTGCCTATGGGGGTAAGCATGGGGAGGGGGTGGACTCTCTTCCAGGTAGAGGAGGTGGCAGGTTTTTGAGTGGCTCTGTCTAGGGCTCATCTGGGATATGGGTTGTGGTCAGGCTAGAAGAGAGTATGTTCTGTAGTTGTAGTCTATTCTCTGAGAATATAGAGCCCCGTGACCTAGAAAAACAAAGAGTTATGGCCAAATGCAGACACCTGTGAGTTTTGTCTATAAATGTGGGAGGGGAATTGAATAGATTCCTTTCACCTACTTTTCTAACTCTATGATTGTATTTA